TTTTATGAATAATTTAAAAAAAGTTATGTTTACCCCTCCCCCTCCCTTCTTACCTTTATCTTGGGAGGGGGAGGGAGCCGTTCTGCCTGGGAGGGGAGCCTTGAAGGGACCATGCTGCCTTCCCTGGTGGTCCAGTGGTGAGAGTGAACTCTAACCTGCGGGTTAGAGTTCACTCTCGCGAGATCTGAGCGTTGCCACGGTAACCGCGGCAACGCTCAGAATCTCGCGAGAGGACCCGGCGGAGCTGCTGGTTAGAGCTCCGCCGGGTCCTCTCTCCTGCCTCCCTCCCTCCCAGCCGGTGGCCGCATCTCCCTGTCTGTGGGCTGGTGAGGGAGAGATCTCCCCACCAGCCCATGGAGACACACAGCAGGGCCGGCGCTCGGATAGTGCTGGCCCTGCAGGGGCTGGCAGGGGAGATTCTGTGATCTCCCTGCCGGCCTCGGCCCCACGGCCATCGCGGCCCACCGGGCATTTGCCCGGTATGCCCGATGGCCAGTCCGGGCCTGCCTGCAGTGTACACAGGGAGGGATAACATTTAGCCAATACAAGTTGTAAGCTTTAAGTCCACTCTCAAGCCCGCTGTAGTGGTTATGGTCCTAGTATCCTGACCCCACTCACAGATTTCGGGACAGAACATTTTGCAATGTTTTGTCCTCATACCTCAGTCTGCCAGACGGAATACCCTCCAAAAGAGTTACAGAAGCCGAATGCCAATCCCACTAGCCATTCATTGGTTCATAGTGTCAGCTGACCCCTGCTCAGCAATAAAAGACCCTCAGTTCATAGAAATATGCACAGAATTGACGTCCGTCAGACAGTATTATTCTTCCGTGTTGGCTAATATGCCCCAATGACTTTGAAGTGACACCTCCGGCTGCAAATGGGTTAAACTCCATGTGACAGTGTTTAAAAGTGAAATTCTGAACATACAGACTACGGGCACCATCACCACTTCAAATCACTGAAAATAGTGCTTAATGTAACTCTTAACGCTGCTCATGGAATAATGCTTAAGGGGATATCTGTTTATAGTATAAAGAGTGCTACGCTGACCAATAATTGTTTATTTAAGTAAAAGTAAAATGAGCAGGGAAACATCACTTAGTTCCCCCGCTGCCCAAGGGGTAATTTTGTTTTCTGACTGACCCCCAGTGCATTTTTTACATTTGGTACCTGGTGACATGAAGTGTGAGGGGCCTGTAAATCACAGGTTCTTGTTTGGTACAGAACCATTTACATATAGATTTATGCTGCATTGTTTGACATTATCACTAAACGTGTGCCAGATGAGTTGGCGGTACACAGCCGTGCCCACTTTATTTCGTATCCAGATAGAAATATCTGTTTAACGATGCAGTTTTCCAGTTTAAATCACGGATACGCGTGTTCGAGGCAGCTTGTATAACATTACTGTTATTAAGACTTGGCACACCGACCCATGACATCTGACAAATGACAACCTTCCAGACGGCGGCTCCGGGATTAATCTCAAGATGATGGTGTTATAGTGTCAAACTGGACAGTTGGCAGCCATTAAAGGCTTGTCAGAGGATACAAAGATGCCGGCACGGAGTCTGTTTTGCTTTATAAATACTGTTGCCAAGGATGCCAAACAAAAGAGATAAAATACTCTGCAATATTAACCATTGTACACAATCTGCCAGCAGGACTCTCCTCCAATACACAGGAATGATCAGAAACGATACATGATCCAAATGGAGGTTCCATTCGTAGCAACTGGTTATGATGTTTGATGGTGATTTCGTTAAAATGACAAATATAATGTCCCCATATTTCTACTGTTTATATATTAGAAGTTAGCGTTTCACCAGCTTTGACCGAGCGTGAGCAATGAATAAGTGATCTGACATTATAAACAATAGATCTCACAAACATAACGTTTACATTTAATGAGCGCTTTGTTTTATTTTGTACTTGGCGTTTCCGATCCATTCTGTGGAGTTACCAGTTTGTAAAATGTCTAATCCTGGATCCTAGGAAGCTGCCTAAAATCATATTATAGTTAATCCTTCTCAGGGGATCCCCCAGTGTCTGGGATTTTCCCACATCATTTGTCTCCTTATCTTTTCAACATTTTTCTACCAAAATCATCCTATTGTTTAAAGGGACACTATAGTCACCTGAACAACTTTAGCTTAATGAAGCAGTTTTGGTGTATAGAACATGCATCTGCAGCCTCACTGCTGAATCCTCTGCCATTTAGGAGTTAAATCACTTTGTTTATGAACCCTAGTCACACCTCCCTGCATGTGACTTGCACAGCCTTCCATAAACACTTCCTGTAAAGAGTCATCTAAAGTTTATCCTTTCTTTATTGCAAGTTCTGTTTAATTTAGATTTTCTTATCCCCTGCAATGTTAATAGCTCGCTTGAGCCTCCTGTATGTGAATAAAGTTTATTTTTATTTTTTTAAATTCTTTATTTTATTTGTGCATAGGAAAATCACAACTGGCTTACAATGCCACAACAGCTAGGGTAAGCATTTTAGGCATTAGTGAGTGTGACAAAACGCCTTTTGTCACCGGATTTTCCCCTGGCTGTTGGAGGAGCCTGATTGCCAGCCTCTTGCCTCATGACTATGGCCCTGGGTTATTTGGCCCTTCAAGTACAATATTTGGGCATATTGGATTTGTATGGTGCTGCTGCTGGCCCTTTAAAAACCATCCCTGGACATATTATGACTTTTAGGAACAATGTCCATTTAAGACTGTGTAGCAGATTGCATTCAGGCGGTCTGCAATATTATATATGCTATTATGTGGAAATGTGTAGGTTCTATGTGATAAATGTAACAGTATGTATTTTTATGTCTTTTGTTGTCCTTTGTCTGCCATGTGGCTAATGGAGTTTTGCCTCTGTCCTTGGAGATAATTGCATTACTTCTCAATTATCTCCAGAATAGAAGACTCTGAAACCAGTTTGGGCCAGATATCCATGCTGCCAGCCAGGCCCCAAAAGATACTTGTGCTAACTTCTGAACCCGTGGTCTGATTCAGGCCATTTTTTAATATGTTGTTCCCCTGAATGGATTGATTGTGAATATGTAGTTTTATGTGAATGTGATGTATAGTTTTGGAGTTATGAAAGTTGGGTAAAAAGTGTGTTTTAAAATGTATGGATAAATGGGTTACCTCTCAGGCTAAGGGGAGGAGATGTGTGGGATGTAACCATTGTGTGATTGGTTGTACTGTGTCCCACCCAGTGGGATGTCCCCTTGTATGGGGACCTGCATAAAAGCAGGTTCTTTGTGTGCCAATAAACAGATCATCTTGTACCTTCATGAAGTTTCGGCTCAAGTTTGGGGGATTGGAGAAACTACACTCTGGGGATTGCTATAATCGCTATACTCCCCAGGGTATAATCACTAAGCTCTGCTAAGAGCTTGTTCCTGCTCTCTGGAATTCGGAGAGAGGTCGACCTGCTGGAAGCTGGACCCTGGTCCTGGGTCCAGAGTGGGTGGAGACGGCGAGATCCCAACCAAGCTGCGGCGGTTCGTGGGGTCTGCAGTGGTTATGGTGTCAGGCAGAGTGCTTGGAGTCCTCGGAAAGCACTAGGAGCATCCGTCGGCGGAAGGTACCCGGTCAGGGTGCCAGCGGTTCCGTTACAGTGAGTACTACACAATTTTTATATATAGTAATTGTAACGGATCACTTGGCACCCCGACTGGGTACCTCCGTTGAAGGATGCTCCTAGCGCTTCCTGAGGACTCCAAGCACTGCAGCAGACACCACAACCAACGAACCGGAGAAGCATCGAATGCTCTCAAGCATAGGAATGCTGCAAACAGCTAAACAGGAAAAGCATACAATCAGCATACAATCCAATTCCCCCAATAACGAGACAACACTTTGTTTTGAGGTCAAGCAGAACTGACTGTACTGGCACATACAGCCTTTTTTATTCACAATCCACAAACATAGTACTGCCAACAGGGTTTTGAAATACAACCAATCAATCCATACAATACACACAGACACTCCCACACAAAATCCTCCCCTCTGCCAATGGGTAATATCATTATCACAGGCAGAGAAATACAGTATTATAAAACATATCACAGGGACCCCAAAACATGCAATAACCCCTGGGTGAACCACATATCCAAAATTCACCCAGATCCGTTCAGTGCTTTGGAAAATACAGTTTAATGCAGATTCTGCAGAACATATACAGGCTAAATAAAAAACAATCACTGTATAATGTGTCCCCTGCTGTATAGTCCAAAACCACTGCACGATGTCTCTGTGCAACAAATACTGGCAAGATGGCACCGTGTTGAAAAGTCCACACAGTGTCTGTGAGTTAAAATGGCCGCCATCCATTGTTCTCACCATGTGCTTCTGATACAGGAAATGGTGGCCACCCAGTAACTCCACAGTATGTCCCCAGATGGTTCTTAAAGGGCCAGCAGCAGCACAACACAAATCCATTATGCCCAGATCATGTCTTTAAAGGGCCAAATCTCCCAGGGGCCATAGTCAGCAGGCAGGAGGTGGGCAATCAGTCTTCTCCAATGCCCAGTGGCGAGGTCGGTTTCGCCACAGTAATGTTGCTTATCTAGGTGGTGTTCTTTGCTGCTGAACGTGAATGGTAGATTACAAGATTAGACAAAGTAGAATAATATATGTTTAGTGCTATAATGTGTTGCTTGTGAGAGGTTTACTAGTAGTGTCTTATGAGTTTCAGCATGTTGGGCTATTGCTAGTGATTAATCAAAAGATGTTGCTTGCTAGTGAAATGGCTAGCTCAGGGGCAGGCATCATTTAAGTGTACACATCGTGGTGAGCCTAGTGTGTAGTGACTTTATTAAGTGATGCCAATTCCAGGTCGGGCAGTTCAACCGATCCCCATCAGCCTCAGGGTTGGTGCCCGAAGTAGTGGTCGGTGGGGGTCCCCCCAGTCAATGCTCTTCCAGTTCCCAGCCGGGATGGAGTCTGATGACAAGGTGGAAAAGGCCTCCTGACCCATGGTGTGCCTGCCTTGGGCTTGATGTCTCTGGCCAGGGTTGCGGAGCTGGTGGTGGCTGGGATCTGCTTTCGGGGCAATTCGGTGAGGTGTTGGGGGTCCGGCCCTCGCTCCCCTTCTCCACCAAGCAGAGACGCAGGGCTGGGTCGTGTCTGGGAGCATCCGGCGGGATGTCTTCGCCATGGAGGGTTGGTGGTCACCATGAGGGAAGGGGGGGTTGAGCAGGCGGACCTGGGGCTCGTTGCCTGTCGGGTGTGTGACACCGCTGGTGGTCTGTTGCCGACCCACCGTGGCTTGTTTTGAGTCTCCTGCCTTCTCCTCCCAGCCTTCCAGGCTGTAGTCGGGCCCTCTCCTGGAGCCGCTGGTCGCGGTTTGTTGCTGATGGTGTCGCTGTTGGAGCGCTCCCGTTGCCTGAAAACTTTGCCCAAAAGTCAGCCAGCAGGCGGTCCAGCTGTTCCAATAGTGGCGGCAAAGAAGTATTTGCATTCTGGCTTCCACGTGGCGTCCGCCATGTTGTCTAGCGCGGGATCCGCCGGCATATTCCTCTCCGGCGGGGGGAGGGGAGTGTGTCGGGGAGACCTCCAAATAGTTTGGCAGCAGTTAGCAGAGGGATCGGCCGCTTCCCCCGTGCCGTCTGTGTAGGCCGCTTATAGGCCTCGGGTCGATCCTCGGTGTGTCGTCTGTGGTCTGCCGCGGACTCGCTGGAGCACTTCCTTTGTGGTAAGCCCTTTGCTTGTGGGCTGGAAGGCAGGCAAATTTTAGTTTTTTTTGTAGTTTTTAAGCTTGATTCAGGCATTTTTATGAGGAGCTCTTCTGATGTGCGGCCATTCGGCTTGGCGGCCAGGCTCCGCCCCCCATGTGAATAAAGTTTAATTTACAGAGCAAGAGATAAAATTGTTTGAGGTAAATTACATCTGATTGAAAATGAAACCATTTATTTTTCATGCAGACTGTCAATCAGAGCCAGGGGAGGTGTGACAAGGGCTGCATAAACAGAAACAAAGTGATTTAACTCCTAAAAGACAATGAATTGAGCAGTGAAACCTGAGAGGCATGATCTATACGTTAAAACTGCTTCATTAAGCTAAAGTTGTTTAGGTGACTGTAGTGTTCCTTTAATGTTCTGACCTTACACTATTGGATTAACTTACCTGAACTGACACTACCGTTTGCCCTGACTTGACACTACTGCCTGCCCTGAACTGACACTACTGCCTGCCCTGACCCAACACTGTAGCCTGCCATGACACTGCAGCCTTCCCTGCCCTGACATTGCAGCCTTCCCTACCCTGACATTACTGCCTGCTCTAATCTGACACTGCAACCTGCACTGACATTACTGCCTGCTTTGACCTGACACTACTGCCTGCCCTGCCATTTTTGCCTGCTCTGACCTGACACTACCGCCTGCCCTGCCATGCCATTACTGCCTACTCTGACCTGGCACTACTGCCTGTCCCGACATTGCTGCCTGCTCTTACCTGACACTACTGCCTTCCATAACCTGACACTACTGCCTGCCCTGCCTTGACTCTACTACCGGCTCTGCCCTGACACTGCTGTCTGCCCTGACCTGACACTATGGCCTGCCCTGTCTTGACACTGCTGCCTGCTCTGGCCTGACACTACTGCCCTCCATAACCTGACACAGCATCCTTCCCTTACCTGACACTACTGCCTGCCCTGACTCTTCTATCTCCCCTGACCTAACACTACTTTCTTCCATAACCTGACACAGCACCCTACCCTGACCTGACACTACTGCCTGCCCTGCCTTGACTCTACTACCTGCTCTACCCTGACACTGCTGCCTGACCTGCCACTGCTGCCTGCCCTGACCTGACATTACTGCCTGCCCTGGCAAGGCCATGTAATTGCTGCCTGACCTGACAAAGATGGCTACCCTGGACAGATTTCCCCATCACAATGACCTGTTTTCTTTCGAACATTTGTGATGTGTGATGCTTTGCAGAAAGGTGAAGCTATCTTATGGTTGGGTTACACCAATAAACTGTGCTATAAACTCAAACTGTACTGATCACCCATTTTCATGTTTTGATTCTTCATTATTCTCTCTCCAAACCTCTATTCTTTTCTGTTTTTTTTTTAAAAAAAATTAGACTCTTCTCAGCCTCTCTAAACTAGCCTCTTGAGTGTAAACACCACGCCCAGACACTCTAAATCTGGCTCTTGCCCCAGTCTCTCTAAATCAGCCTCAGCCATCCTAAATCCACAACCCCCCAGATTCTCTGAACCAAAACTACATCACAATAAGACCACCCCCCCCTCTCTAAATCAGAACCCAGCCGCCATAAACCCACATCCTCCAGACTCTCTAAATCAGAACCCAGCCGCCCTAAACCCACATCCTCCCAGACTCTCTAAATCAGAACCCAGCCGCCCTAAACCCACATCCTCCCAGACTCTCTAAATCAGAACCCAGCCGCCCTAAACCCACATCCTCCCAGACTCTCTAAATCAGAACCCAGCCACCCTAAACCCACATCCTCCCAGACTCTCTAAATCAGAACCCAGCCACCCTAAACCCACATCCTCCCAGACTCTCTAAATCAGAACCCAGCCACCCTAAACCCACATCCTCCCAGACTCTCTAAATCAGAACCCAGCCGCCATAAACCCACATCCCCCAACTCTCTAAATCAGAACCCAGCCACCCATAAACCCACATCCTCCCAGACTCTCTAAATCAGAACCCAGCCACCCTAACCCCACATCCTCCCAGACTCTCTAAATCAGAACCCAGCCGCCCTAAACCCACATCCTCCCAGACTCTCTAAATCAGAACCCAGCCGCCCTAAACCCACATCCTCCCAGACTCTCTAAATCAGAACCCAGCCGCCCTAAACCCACATCCTCCCAGACTCTCTAAATCAGAACCCAGCCGCCATAAACCCACATCCTCCCAGACTCTCTAAATCAGAACCCAGCCGCCCTAAACCCACATCCTCCCAGACTCTCTAAATCAGAACCCAGCCGCCATAAACCCACATCCCCCCAGACTCTCTAAATCAGAACCCAGCCGCCCTAAACCCACATCCTCCCAGACTCTCTAAATCAGATTTTTCCCAGTCTCACTAAACGACTCTACTCAATCTCACTAAATTAGTCTGTTCCCCAGCTTCCCTATGTCAGGCTATCCACAACCAATATATTTATATTTTAAGCTACAATAGTTCATTTTAAATTTAATTAAAAAACAAAACAAAACAAAACCTTCAATGCCCACTGTCCCCCAATAAAATCATCATACTAGATGGCATCTGGTCCAATCGAAAACCTCTCACTGTGGACATAACTCGCGTGCATGGATAATCGCTGTACTGCACAAATTAGTGGCTTTCAGCATCACCGTGTCAGATGGCTACGAACGTGAAGACCTTTGAAAAATTGAAGGCTTTGCAGTATTAACCCCAGGCCTCCTACAATAACCCTTCACTCTCTGTATTAAGCCCACACCTGCGCTATTAACCTCAGGCAGTGCTGCATTAACCCCACATTATGCTGTATTTTTCTCCATGCTCAAATCATTAAAGTTTTTGGACAAAAAAAAATGTTTTTCAGAATGCTGCACCTGCCTCTTTAGCCACACCCCTCAACCCAGAAAAATACTTCCTTATCAATGTATGTACGCAGCCTAGCCTTGGCCACTGACAGCACTCAATGATCTGTAATGCAAACCAGCCTGCATTAGAGGAGTCTGATACCCAAGGAGACATATAGTAAGGATATTACTACCTGTGTGTAGTTTCTCTGACTGTCTGCAGCCAGATTGTGAATTAAAAGCCTCAGTATGTCTCCTTGGATATCCGACTTAACACTATTACACACTATCAAAAACTGAACCCCCATTAACCTTTAAAGGCTACCCGACCCTTATAAGCCCTAAACTCGTCCTGGCAGTCTTACCTTTTGAGCTGCGGCCTCTTTTTAATGGCATGTTAAATTAATTATCTATTTAGCTTGGCACTGTTTAAAATAATGTGACAATTCCATTTTAAGGCCGAACTAGTTGAATTTTAAAAATTCTCTATTTTTATTTTATTCATCAGCTATTTTGGATTAAACCACTGAATTTGGTCATTTCTTTTCAATAATATTAACCCCCTGAATATCAGGATCAGGTAGAACCCGGAGGCGGAATGCCCCAAAATTGGAACGCTTTTTATCTGTAATTTGAGGTGAATAACTGCATAATAATGTTTGCCCTTGCATTGACACTCCCCAGTTTTATATAATATATATATATATCTCAATGACACTGGTTGTACTCGGTGAGATCCGCTTCCCTGGATTGGATATTAGCGGAGTGTTTGCAGGCCGCATGACATTGTAATGTTTTCAAACTGCAAATGTTCGAAAATCTTCCTTATTAGGAGATCAGGATAAATTCCTTCCGAGCTCACACAGTCAGCATCTGGGCTCACAGACAGCCAAACACTTCAAACAATACCTTTTATACGGCTTTAGGATTTATTTTGACAAAAGATTTTGCTTCTAATTTAGGATTTTACAAAAATGTATTTCATGACAGCAAGGGGTTAAAGTCATCAATGCGAAGAAAATGAAAAATGAGATTTTGGAAGTATTTCTACACTTGTCAGAAGTTGAGAGGAATCTTCTAATGTAGCATTTTAGGCAAGAAAACATGAAAATGACTGATTTATAAAATGCAAAAAATAATTATAAGCTTAAATAAACCAAATATTTCATTCATTATAAATTGCCATAAGACAATAATTCATTTATTGTAAATTACAATTACAGGCCAATAATTCATTGTAACAATGGGATACATCAATAATTTGTTATACATTACATTATTTGTTATAATTCGTTGTACATTACAACAAATGTATGTTTCAATCCGCTAAAAAATGCGTTATTTGTGCGTTACAAACTGCTAATAATTCATTCATTGTACGTTGCAAACCGCTAATAATTCATTATTTGTACGTTACAATCGGTAATAATGCATTATTTGTATTTTACGCTAAATTAATCATTTATTCATTGTACGTTACAATATGCTAATAATGCCTTATTTGTATGTTACAATAAACAAATAATTCATTCATTGTATGTGCAAACTGCTAATAATGCATTATTTGTATTTTACGATGAACTAATAACGCATTATTTGTATGTTACAATCTGCTAATAACGCATTATTTGTATGTTACAATCTGCTAATAATGTTATTTGTATGTTACTAATAATTAATTAATTGTACATTGTTACAATAAACTAATAATGCATTCATTGTACATTGTTACAATGCGCTAATAATGCATTCATTGTACGTTGTTTCAATCCGCTAATAATGCATTCATTGTACTTTGTTTCAATCCACTAATAATGCATTCATTGTACATTGTTACAATGCGCTAATAATGCATTCATTGTACGTTGTTTCAATCCGCTAATAACACATTTCAGCTTCCCTTCCCCCATTGCCTTTGCTTAAAACGTTAATTCACTCACCTTTTTCCAGCGCTGCACCGATCTTGCTGTGGTTGGCTCCACCCCTTTCCAACTTCGTGGATCATTAAATTTGAGGATTTCTGCCAATCCAATGCTTTGCCATGGGAACCAGAACTGTCTACAGTGTCCATTTTAATGCTAATTCCAGTCAGAAATCTGTCAACCCAACCAAATGTGCCTAAATTGATATCGGGGGCATATCTACTAAACACAGAGTAGTCACAGGCTGCTAACTAACTAGAAACTAGCAACTGGGCATCTATTTCCCAGTGTGTAGAAAGGGATCTGTTACTGGGGGGTAATTTATTACAGGTCCTCCTGTACCCTCACAAACAGGAATATAGGGGAGGGAGGTTTAAATTCAATAATGCGTGTGGACATGTCATTGCCAGAGGCTGCTCGCTTTAATTTAAAACTAGCGATTGGGCAACTATGACTGCACAGTCACTAGAAAGTCACATTCCAATGGGGTAAATTACTAGGGGCTTAAATTCAATAATGGGGGGGCAGGCAAGGCCATCATCAGGGAGTGACAACCATGACGTGTAACGACAAAATTGCCGCCGGTGCAGCTGCACCAGGGCCTGCACACTGAAAGGGCCCATCGGGTGGCCCACACACTTAGGGACACAGCAACAGCGCTGACCAGGCCCCTGAAGATATAGGGCCCATTGTTGCAACTGCAACGCAAGTGTTGCTGGGAGGAAGTGACAGCTGGTCACTTCCTCCCGGTTCACTCTGCGCGGGAGGAGAGTCAGCGTGGAGGCCTTGAAGAGGGAGAGCCACGCTGACTCCCATCAGCCCCAGCCACCCTCCTGAAAGGAAAACGTAAGAAACAGGAGGGTGCCTGAAAAATGAGATGTGTGTGTCAGTATGTATGTCTGTATGTCAGTATGCATGTATATCAGTGTGCATGTATCTCTGTCAGTATGTATGCCTGTCAGTATCTCTGTATGTATGTATGTATGTCAGTTTATCTGAATGAATGTATTTCAGTATGTCTGTATGTATGTATGTGTGTGTGTGTGTGTGTGTGTATGCATGTATGTATGTATGTATGTGTGTATGTGTGTGTATATAGGTATATCAGTGACTGTATGTATGTCAGTATGTATGTGTCTGTATGCCCTTGTGTCTGTATATGTGTGTATGTGTCAGTATGTGTGTGTCAGTATGTATGCCTATATGTGTGTATGTCTGTTTCAGTATGTGTGTCTGTTAGTATATATGTGTGTGTGTCAGTATGTGTGTATCTTTGTGTGTGTGTGTGTGTGTGTGTGTGTATCTGTGTCCTTTTGTATCAGCGCGTGTGTTTGTGTCTGTGTGTAAACCTGTGGGCGGGATTTGGAGGCGGTTCCTGTGGGTGGGCTTGGAGCTGAGTTAGGGGCCCCAAAATTTCTGATGGCGGCCCTGGGGGCAGGTCATGATCCACCTACCTGTCCTGTGGATGAGAGCTCTATAAAATAAAATGTGTGGAATGGGATTTGCTAATGCCCCCCCCAGCCCTCACCCATGGATGTCAGAGAGTATTATTCCCAAGCAAGTCTTGAGAGGGATAAGAGCCAGGATTTACTGACTTAAAAGCCAACCAATCAGAGCACTCGGTGAGCCTTTATAAAGGGACAGTACGTTTTATTCTTGCGGCGTGGTTTTGTTTCCTTGTCAGTTTTCTGCAATTCAGGTTTTTATTTAACAGTAGCATTGGGAAGTAACGAATTATTATTTGACCTTTTTTGGGCTGAATAAAAGAAGACTTTAGAAGAAAGAAGATCTGGCAGCAGGTATTAGATGAAGAGCTGGGTGTGGTATTCCTTATATTGGAGTTTGGGGACCACCAGCTACCAGGTGAGGGGGGGATTGTACTTCATCATAAGCGCTACGGAATCTGTTGGCGCTATATAAATGGCAATTATAATATTAATAATAAAGCTTCATGGTGATTGTGTTAAATGTGATGAAGTACAATCCTCCATCATGTTACCCCCCCTCACTTGGTAGCTGGTGGTCCCCAAACCCACAGTGTGTGACAATAATGTGACGAAGGACAAAATAAAGGAAAGTTATTTTTTTCCCATTTATTTAGTCCAAAAACAAATAACAAATGGGTAACTAAACTAATTTGTTCATAGAGCAGTGAGAGCTATTATACTGTTATTACTTTGCTTAGCAATTCATTCATTTCTGTAGTGATTGGTTGAGCACAATTAGTGAAATAAGCAAAAATGAAAAATACATTTTTGACAAACAGAAACAAAAATAATTTTCAGAACAAATTAACCAACCAAATAACATGTCCACCCCCATTGAGTATTAAATAGGTGGGGGCTGGGAGGGACAGTGGGCTAGTAAATAGTAGCCCCCACCTTTTCTCTATGAGTGTGGACTGAGACTCTTTAGCAAGTTCCCACATTTTCTATGTGACCAGCAGTCAATTCCCCCTATTATTGAAATTGAAGCCAACCTCGCAATGTCCACAGGTGGCATGATGGGTTAAGGCATACGGAAGGTTTCAAATCTCTAATAATAATAATATGAGGCTCATATTGGCAAATAGTTTAGATTTAAACTCAAGGTCATGATCTGTAGCCTTCCATCCACCCTCAGCCCAGCTGGAATCCAGACAAAATTCAGGCTCATTTGAAGCCTGTTCCACATACATTCTGTTTACGAAGACTTTGCAGTCAGAATGGTATTTACTGCAGCCCAACGTTTTGCACCTTTTGCCTTGTGACAAACTTCAACAGTATCACTCAATTCTTTATTTGAAATCTTTTATTATATTATATACTATTCCATAATGATATTTAAGATCTCTTTATATTGTATTTAAAGGGGCTGGACTTTAGCTGAATAAACAAAGGGATTTAACTCCTAAATGGCAGTGAATTGAGCAGTGAGACTGCAGGGGCGTGATCTATACACCAAAACCCCGTCACCCCTTCACTTCTGATCACTTTTTATGGAATCAATATGAGCATTACATTTATTTGAAGCAAGGGATGCATGACTGGCATATAAACATACCATAACACAGTCATGTTGGGTGTAGATTGAAAACATGTCCATTTAAAGCAGGGGTTCTCAACGTTAGTCCTCAGGACCCCCTACCAGTCCAGGGTTTAGGGATTACCTGGGTGTGTCTAAGGTGTTTAGAAAAAAAAACACCTTAGAGTCTAAGGTGTTTTTTTCCCTTTTTTCTAAACACCTGAGACACACCCAGGTAATCCCCAAATCCTGGACTGGTAGGGGGTCCTGAGGACTGGGTTGAGAACCCCTGATTTAAAGAGTTTTTATTTTTCACTTATTCATTCAGCCTTTACATAAAATAATTGGGGAATTGAGAAAAATGTTTCAGACAGTATACCGTATCTCTTATAGTGCAATATTTCACACCGTGTCTGCAACAGGATGTACAAATTAATGTCTGAATTGAGCATAATTCCAGCATACAGTAAATACAGTTAAATAATGTATTTCTAAAATCAGTGTGTTCAAAGCTGATAAAGTAATATTAATCTCTGGAATGCTAATGCACACTTCAAAATGGTCCATTAACTCATCCACCTTCCCTGACTATAGGAATTGTATGACCCATTGAAACTTCCTGTACCGTTTGGAAGCATGGTGACCTGACATTTTCAGCAACTTTACATTCATTATATCGGTGACTGGCTGGCAATCATAACTAGGGAATAAATGAGGTTCAATGAGACTTTATTAATAGGATTTTATACTGCAAAATACATAAAAACAATTATACTTAATTCTTGGAGTGAAGTGGTTAATTAAAGGGCGTAGTATAATAATTATAAATATAGGGAAACCTATGTATAAACAATGTGTGAAAGAATCTGACATATTTGGAATGTTTTTCATAAACTGGGGAAGCTCATTTATTTTATGGTCAGGTGTGCAAAGGGAGATAATTTTCTTATTTTTCTAGAAAAACATACCCTTAAATTTGTAGTGTTGATATATGGAAAATTTATAAATATAAGAGTCCACCCAGATTTCTGTGTTAGAGCAATATGATTTTAGTTGTAGTTTTTGTTTAAAATTATTGAATTTGAGCAAATTACCTTTCTTTCAACCTCTGAAATACCTTCAAGTCTGACCAAAAGAAGATCCTGGAGGCACTAATTGATGTATTACGAGTTTATTTATTATTAGTGTAGAGAGAAGTTTGTATGTGTGTCTTATATGAGCTAATTGAATCTGTAAAAAACATTATTTAAAAAAAACCCAACAAAACATGCCATGGCAAGTCTCTGTAGAACGTTTGTTATGTATCCATGGAGCATTTGTTCTGTTCTGGTCCCATAAATTGCACTTTGGGTACAATGAGTCCCGAGTTATTTCTCCGCATTGAGTTGTTTCTTCTCATAGAGTTATTTCTTCTCATGGAATTCCGTTTCCTGAGAGAGTTCTGGTGGGACAGTTCACTCTTCTGGAGTGTTTGGATGAGGATTGATGGTTTTTCATCAAGCTCTCTTGCGCTGCATTGTGGAGCAGCCACTTTAACAGTATTCCCAAATTTGGAATAATCCACAGAATAGATTCCATCTTCCTCAGTTACAACGGAGACAAAACGATGACCCCAAAGAATTTCTTCAGTGATATAGGATGTTCTAGCTTGTGTGGTGATGCCTGTAGTTTCCACAACTCCTTCAAGTATAACAATGACTTCAAGATCTTGGGTTGACAAGTCAGATGCAGAGACCTCATATAACGGGCTTCTCTTGTCAATGACATGACTGATGATTAGCGGAGCTACCAGAAAGATATTATTGCTTTCCATTGAGTTTTCCACAGGAATGTCAATTTGGTGAATAGGGATGACCTCCCCTTCGGGGGTCACCGTTTTGCGTATAACTTGGATCCTCAGAGATGCGCTAATGATCATGCTTTTTCTCAGATCTCCAACTCGGAACATGAAACACAGTTTTCCATTTCGGACTGCGATCACGGCTTGGCGGCTGAAGATTAAAGTCTCTGCCCTTCTGTGGGATTGTGCGGTCTTCATGAATATGCAGCCCAGCATGACGGCGTTAATTATTAAACCCACAATGTTTTGCATGATGAGGAGGGAGATTGCCAGCAAGCATTCTTCTGTCATCATTCTCCCTCCAAAACCGATGGTCACCTGCACCTCAATGGAGAACAGGAAGGCCGCTGTGAAGGAGCTGATGAAAAGAAAGCAAGACAATCGACATCACTCAGAACAGCAAATAAAATGTCTGTGAAAATCTCATTATTATACAAATAGGGTCATATATTGTCAGTAATTGTTAATATACTCATTATGAGGTGGGCCAATTAAATTAATGTAGGGTCCAATCTATCCTCCTACGCACATCTTGTGTGGCATGACGGTTAGTAATTAGCAAGGTTTGACCTACCACCTATCTACTGGATGCTCTATGGCCCTGAAGTGTGGTCAGTGAAGGTTGGATTGGAATTCCGTGGTTCTCCTATGGCCATGGAATGACTGAGAAAGTGACATTAAGCCTAGTGATAAGGGGACCATGTTATTGTCCACTCTCTATGGCCGGGGAGATGGGGAGCGAGTGTATTAACTCAGAGAATAGGGGTAATATTCAACAGTAAGTCTCCTGGTAATGGTGTCCAGGTGATTCCAGTTTCAGTTTATTTATTTAAAAAAAGTTTTCCAGATCCCCGCTATAGACATGTGCAATTTGTTTCAGTCCGAATATGAATTTGGACGAATTTCGGGCAATTCGGACATTCCGGTTCTTCCAAATGTCCAAAGTTCAGAAATTACTGAATTTCCGAAGTGTCGAAGTTCAGAAGTGCTGAAGTTGCCGAAGTTCCGAAGTGTCAAAGTGCCGAAGTGCCAAAGTTCCGAAGCACAGTATTGCCTAAGTACTAATATACTTACCCAGTGAAAGAAGAAGAATGTTACATTGTATATAATTTTAAATAAAAACTATACAAACATAGCCAGGATTCAGCTGTAAGCATTTGCAACACTTACAACAATCAAGTAACACACATTCATATAAAATGTAAGTTACTTTGCCTGTCAGTGTAATGACAGGAATGAATAAGTAGATAACTCCCTAATTCCCACGGTATTAGGGAGCTATTTACTAAAAGGCTGAAAGACCTAAATTGGCCTTTCAGCCAAATTTACTAATACTAAGTAAACATTACTTAGTATTAGTAAATTATGCCCCTACTCGCGGTATAGCCTGTGGCTGCTCACTGTTAAAAAAAAAAAAAAGTCCCCCCTCCCGAGCCCCCACCCGCGGCGTGCGAGTGGGTGCTTTTAAACTAAAGGGGCAACCTCTTGCCCCCCCCCCCGGGCCCCACCCCTGAGCGGCGGGTTTACTTAATCCACCAATCAGAGGGTTATGAGTCAAATTACACAGCGTGGAAAATTTCAAACTAACTTTCCCACGCTGTGTAAAATGACAGAGCACTCTGATTGGTGGATTTCAAACCAACCAATCAGAGTGCCGTGAAAGGGAAATGTAGAGACTTACCTGTCAGTCTCTTCATTTACCTGTCAGAGCACTCTGATTGGATGGCTTAAACACACCAATCAGAGTGCTCTGAGCCTAAACGTGGGTGGGGGCTCGGGTGGGGGGACCCTATTTTTTGTTTTTGTTATTTAAACAGTGAGCAGCCACAGGCTGCTCACTGTTTACTAGACATGCCCCTACTCGCAAAATTTAGGGGCAAAATTTACTAATACTAAGTAATTTTTACTTAATATTAGTAAATTTGGCTGAAAGACCAATTTAGGTCTTTCAGCCTTTTGGTAGATAGCTCCCTAATACCGTGGGAATTAGGGAGTTATATACTAAGCGGCTGCAATGGAAGTCCTGAAATTCCGAAGTTCTGGAGTGCCGAAGTGCCGAAGTTGCCGAAGTGCCGAAGTTGCCGAATTTCCGAAGTTGCCGAATTTCCGAAGTGCCAAAGTTGCGAAGTTGCGAAGTTGCCAAAGTTCCGAAGTGCCGAATTCCCGAATTTTGGAATGCCGAATCAAACCGAAAATTTTCCCTGTGCACATACCTACCCCGCTAAATGATTGATTCAAAGAATTGTTCAGAAATACTTATTGATATATAGGTTTCTTTAGGGTTGTTTGGGGTGATCTCTAGGTATCCTGTTTTGTATAGAGGTACAAAGCATTATCTAATAATGTTTTTACTAAATGTTTCCAAATTATTTTTCTGACTTTGAAGCCACTTTCCTAAATTGCATTTGATTTTATTTCCTTGTCCCTTCCTTACTTGAATACCCAGAAGATGTGATGTGTCCCTTGTTTAATTGAGCCAATAGGTCATTTCCTGTCAACCAGCGTTGCAAGAATTCCCCCTGTGTATCTGCTAATTAGGGTGATATCCCAGCACTGGATATAACAAACAGAGAAATGTAAACATGATAATAATCATTATATTTAATCATATAGTTAAAGGGACACTATAGGCACCCGGATCAATTCTGCTTACTGAAGTGGTCTGGGTGCAGTGCCCCTGTCAGTTTAATCCTGCAATGGTAACTATTGCAGATATTGGGAAAACTGATTACATTGCAAGGTTAACTGCACCTCTAGGGGCTTCCGGGTGCTTAGACGACTTTTGCATGAGGACATCCAGCATAAGCTAAAACCACTCAGGAAAGCATTTAGTCAGCGGGGTTGTCCTAATACGCTCGCAGCACTTATGATGCATGCGCATTAGGTCTCCGACGTCGGCTGACTTTGGGAGAGCAGAAGCAAAGATGGAGTCTGACCCAACGTTGAGGGAGATTGGTGCTGAATTCTGGTAAGTGAAGAAGGGTTTTTTAACCCATTCTGCGCTGCGGGAGGAGGGTGGGGAACACTTAGACTAGGAAAACAATAAGATAGAAAGGCACACTGAATTATACAAATGGGTTAAACAAAAGTGATATGTGCCCCATTATCCTACAGAAATGGAAAATAGAGACTAGAAGAGGTCTTCCAATGGTCTCCAATCTGGTGACAGAGCCTATTTCAGGGTCGTGTCCCATCGTCCCAGGTTTCGGTCCCCAGAAAGCATAATGTGGGAGAAACATTAGACACAGTCTTGCTGTGCGGAGGGCAGGAGGACCCTGTAGAGAGGAGGCTTGGGCATTTATTTTTGGAAGAATCAAAATTCTGACAAAAATCAGCTCATTCGTCCATTTGTCCCAATTCAGAATCCCCAAATAGCACAATAGAAGGATACCAAATTAAGGAGCTTCTGTGTTTAATACATTACTTACTTATGTGGTATTGTGACAGGATTTCAGTTAGGCCCAAAATCTCCATGTATCGTATCTAAGTTACAGTAATTCTATCTATAATGAGCACCTGAAACCATATTCCAACCTCTCCCTGTCCCATGTTGCTATCAATATAATGTATTCCTGTGCATGCTGTTTACTGATTAGTGTAAGGGTACAGTTTGGGGATGTAGAGTCTATAAAATGCCTGTAATTCAAAATTTCAATGCTCACACCTGGACACGAGTCAGCTGAGACCCGGCCGGTTACAATAAACCTGTTTGCTTCCTGAATCGACCTGTGTCTGCTTTTTATAATCAGTATGTGTCTTCTTTTACCCTGCTTAACTCTCTTAGTTATACGCCCTTTACGCCATATTATTGATGGTAGCATTGAGAGGAAAACAGCAATCCATGTTAGGGCCATGTGGAAGTATAAACCTTTAGCCCCGAGAGAGGTAACATACAATCCGGTATTCAAACCCTGATAAAGTTTATAAGTGGACCCCAGGGCCAAGTTAAAAGTTTTGTTGATCCCTCCTGTCTTGTGATTACCCGATTGGTATTGGCAATCATTGGTATGTGAATACCTAGTACCAGAAGCATCAAAGGGGGGAATGTGACGGGATTTCAGTCAGGCCCCAAATCTCCACATGTCGTATCTAGGTTACAGTAATTATATCTATAATGAGCATGTGCAAAACCTGAAACCACATTCCAACTTCTTCCTGTCCCATGTTGCTATCCATATAATGTAATCCTGTGCATACCATTTACTGATTGGTGTAAGGGTATAATTGGGGGATGTATAGTCTAAAAAATGCATGTAATTCAAAATTGCAATGCTCACACCTGGACACGAGTCAGCTGAGACCCGGTCGGTTAAATCGACCTGTGTCAGGACTCTGTGTGCGTGACTTCATCATTGTTTTCCTGTAACATTTCCCTTATGACAATCCTACAGTAGGGTATCAATTTAATTTAGTGAGATATCTACTAAAAATCAGAAAGGTCAAAATTAAGAAAAGCCCGTCTTTAATTCTGGTATTTCAGCTGTTTAGTAGATAACTCCCTGTTCCGCTATCCTTAAAGGGCAACTATATTGCCAGGCCCCCTTATATGGTGCAGAAGGCATGCTGGCGAGGGGGACCTAATGCGCGAGTTATACAATGCCTTCCTATGGGATTTTGGGTGACGCTGAATAGCATGAAGATATCCAGCGTCAGTTGGGCGACCACAACTCACATAACCACCTGGAAACCCCTCTAGTGGCTGTCTGGTAGGCAGCCACTAGAAGTGGAGTTAACTCTGCAAGGAAATTAGTGGAGTTTCTCAAAAATTGCAATAACTATAATTCATATGGGTATTCAAGTAAGGAATGGATTTATAGAATTGACAGTTAACCCTTTTATTGCAGGGAAAAAAACTAAGCAATTTAGGAAAGCTGCTACAAATTCAGAAAAATAATTTGGAAACATTTAGTGAAAACTTTAGTGCATAATGCTAAATGCCTAGTAGACTCAAAAATGGCAATAATTACCATTTCACGGTTAAACTGACAGGGCACTGCACCCAGACCACTTTAATGAAATGTCCATTTAAATATGGTAAAATTAGAGAGCTATTTACTAAACAGTTCCATAATTTGGTAAACAGCTCCTTAACCCTTTAAGGACCAAACTTATGGAATAAAAGGGAATCATGACATGTCACACATGTCATGTGTCCTTAAGGGGTTAAATATGGCAATCCAAGTCAGAATACCAAATTAGGGAGCTATCTACTAAACAGCTGAACGTTTCCATACTTGCTTCTCTCTGCACAAAGCATGTGAAGAGTAGTAAAAATTAAAATAGTTCCATCAGTCCCTCCATCAGCCCTGAGTGTGATGGTTTGTGACCAATAACAAACATCTAATAGCCGATAAAATGATTTAAAATAAATTAACTGGTCTAGTAGAGTCCTTAATTGTAAAGTGAAGCTATTATTCTGAAAATAACAATTGTTTTTTGTGACTGTAGGTTCCCTTCTGTCAATCATGACCACTGTCCACCCCCTTTGGTAGTAAAAATGAAAGTTAAATGGACACTATAGTCACCAGAACAACTACAGCTTATTGAATTTGTTCTGGTGAGTAGAATCATTACCTTCAGGCTTTTTGCTGTAAACACTGTTTGTTTCAGAGAAAATGCAGTGTTTACATTACAGCCTAGGGATACCTCCACTGGCCACTCCTCAGATGGCTACTAGAGGTGCTTCCTGGGGTAATGCTGCACAGTGTGACTGACATTTGGTGTCTCCACCCTCTGCATGCAGACACTGAACCTTCCTCATAGAGATGCATTGATTCAATTCATCTCTATGAGGAGATGCTGATTGGCCAGGGCTGTGTTTGAATCATGCTGGCTCTGTCCCTGATCTGCCTCCTTGTCAGTCTAAGCCAATCCTATGGGGAAGTATTGTGATTGGATCAGGCTACCACATGTGAGCAGACTGCTTGATTTTCTGAGGCAAACTGCATGCAGAGTTACAGCTTCTGGCTTGAATACAGTAAGATTTTGCTATATTTATGGAGGCATGGGAGGGCCAGGGGGGCAAGATGGTGGTTTTAACACTATAGGGTCAGGAATACATAAATTTACTTACCTTATTTACAGCGCTGGGACTGCTCTCCTCTAGTCACCTCCGAAGACGTCAGAATCCAAGCTGCCTTCACCTGTGATCTCCTCCAGTCTAATGCTTCTATTTGAGAAGCCTTGGTGTCGAGATTCGCATGCGCAGCCAAACGCTCCACTCATTCAATCAAATGCTGCTATGAGTTTTACTGCATTCTGGAGGACACACCTCTTGTGGCTGTCAGTATGGCAGCCATTGGAGGTGGATTTAACAAGGTAATGTAAACATTGCCGTATCTACAAAACCGCACTGTTTTATATGTCCACTGCACCCAGTCCCAGACCACTTTGTTGAAATACAGCATTTAGATACAGAGGTTGATAAAACCCACATGTTATGTGTTATACTAACCACCAAAGTGAGAATTCCAAGTGAACTTCAAATTTAAGGTAAATGTAATAGAAACATGTTCTAAGTCAGCTATTCTGTCAGGTTGGCCTTTTTTCAAATTCAGAATGTACTTCCAATTCTTCGTTTAGTGAATAACCATGTAAGCATTTCCCCATTTTACTTACGTTACTTCGGTGACACATGGTGCTGGCTGCGGTAACCCTTCGCGAATGTCCAAGTCTCCGTGCGCAAACGCCACCAGCCACCATATCATTGCGAAGAGCAACCAGCTACATAGGAAGGACATGGTGAAGATGACCACTGTGTGTCTCCATTTTAGGTCCACAAGAGTCGTGAAGATGTCTTGAAGGAAACGGCCCTGCTCACGGATGTTTTTATGGGCAACATTACATGCACCATTCTTGGCAATAAATCGTGATTTTCGTATGTTAGGGCGTACTCTTGGTTTCCGTAAATTCTCTGCTGCAATTCTTGCCAAGACGTACTCCTCTGGAATGATACTTTTCCTAGCTAACATGCTGCTCATTTTACTGATAACTTATCATTTGTAGCTCGGAGAAAATTCTTCATCTGAATGCTGACTCTTAAACAAAATAAAAGACAGAATCAGAACAAATCCGTAATATTGTCATAAAATACAACTTGCCATCATATCTTCTAGGTATAATGTACTGGATTACAGTGAGAGGCCATTGTGCTGTATCACAGGAGGTATGAGGGAATCAGACCAGCCGGGCCCTAGATATTCCCAGTGTCGTTATTCACTGCCAGACCTAAAGCTAAGTAATGCATGGGGAGCAGAGTGGAGGTTACAAGGAGAGCTATGTGTGCCTAAATGGAGGCTGTATAGGGACCACCGCATGTACTTGAATGGAGGTCGCACAAGGAGGTGTGTGCATGCCTGGATAGAAGCTGCTTGGGGAGTGTATGACTGGGTACAGGCTGCAAGAGGTGGAGTGTGTCAGTCTGAATGGAAACCGAATTGGAAGCAGAGTGAGGGCCTTGGTGGGGGCTGAATGGGAAGCAGAATGAAGGCCTCAGTGGAGGCTAAATGGGAAGCAGATTGAGGGCCTCAGTGGCCACTGAATGGGAAGCAGAGTGAGCGCCTCGTGGAGGCTGAATGGGAAGCAGAGTGAGGGCCTCGGTGGGGGCTGAATGGGAAGCAGAGTGAGGGCCTCGGTGGGGGCTGAATGGGAAGCAGAGTGAGGGCCTCAGTGGAGGCTAAATGGGAAGCAGAGTGAGGGCCTCAGTGGCCACTGAATGGGAAGCAGAATGAGCGCCTCAGTGGAGGCTGAATGGGAAGCAGAGTGAGGGCCTCGGTGGGGGCTGAATGGTAAGCAGAGTGAGGTCCTCAGTGGCTACTGAATGGGAAGCAGAGTGAGGGCCTCGGTGGAAAATGAATGGAAAGCAGAAAGAGGGCCTCAGTGGAGGCTGAATGGGAAGCAGATTGAGGGTCTCGTTGGACAGTGAATGGGAAGCAAAGTGAGGGCCTAAGTGGAGGCTGAATGGGAAGTAAAGTGAGGGCCTCTATGTAGGTTGAAAGAGTACAGGCCTCAGTGGGGGCTGCATGGGAAGCAGAGTGGGGGCCTCGGTGTGGCAGGCCACCGCCACTAAGTACCATGCCCACTGAATATTCATATGTCTTGCCCTTATATTTTGTGTTCCCAATGTTTATTCCCACTGTTTTCCCTTGTATTCTGTGTTTCCCCATGTAATTGTGATGTATTTGTGTGTTTTACCTGCTCCCCGTTTGGGAGAGCGCATACGAATGGAACCTGCTTGTCTCCCGAATGGGGACTACCCAGATACCTCATTTAGAACGTTTATACAGAACGTTCACACCTTGTAACAAGGTGTCAAAACCACAAACCGCAAGGAAAACAAGTGGCGAGTGCTTCCCCTGTGTGGCCACTGATTCGTATAGCCAAACGCCCACCAAGGGAATCATTTGTTTCCCGAACGGGCATGCTTGCATTGTTTTCAGGTCCCTGTGTTGGGGGTCGCCGTACCTGCTCCTAACAGAGCTATAATCACTGTTTACCCTCCTGCCCGGGAGCTACGAGGCTAGGCTCATAGCTGCCCAAGAGAGCACTCTCTCCAGTGCTACCTGAGTGGAGGTAGCCCTCAGAGAGGGGTGCAAGCCCCAGCGGCATCCCTGGAGCTGTGAGTCGGCTACACAGCCACAGGGGTCCTGCTGGCCGCATTGAAGTCCATGTTGACCAATGGGAGAGGGCATGCACATTCAAACTGGGTTTGTGTCATTCTCCTGACTGGTCGTCAAGAACGGGTGCTAGTTGGTCGCTGCGGGGCACAGGTGAACAATCACAGAAGGAGCACCCTTTCAAACTGGGTTTCACGCCCTTTCTCCTGATTGGACAGCAAAACCCCTCTCCACCCTGGTGTAACCAAGTTTCGCGCCCTTTCACATGATTGGGCGATGAAACTCCTCCCTGCGAGCTGATTGCCGCAATTTGGTTTCACGTCTTTCAACTGATTGGTTGTTGCTTGGGTTGGGCGCGAAGTTTGAATTCTCCAGAATAAACCAAGCAACTTCATGGAACTAATTTCATGGATGTACAGAGCCTCAAGCCCCAGACTTTAGACAACAATTTCTTGGGCTCTGTACATCCGATCGCCCTGCTTTTTGCAGGGATCCCAGATGGGACCCGGGCTATCTATGGATGTAGGTTTTATCTGTGTCACCCGTTCACTCCAGAAGCCCCAAGGCCCAAATGTCACCCCCCCCCCGTATGGAATATGTTTTAATGTGTGTCCCTGTGTACTGTTGGTATCTCCCAGAGCAGGAGATGACTATATGTAACCCAACCCCCTACTGCCTGGGATTGTGTTGAACTGAATGGAGACCCGTCTGTGTATAAAAGCTGTGTGTTCCAAATAAAGATTGTCAGAGTTTGTACTTCCAGAACTGTGTCTCGTCTGGTTACTGGAGGGAAGGAAGATTTAACCCTTGTGTCTGCTGTTCCAGCTTGCAGGGGATGTAGCGGGGAAAGTTCTTGTAAGGACTAAAAGACCAATTTCCCCATCTGTTTCCTGGTTCCAGCTAGGAAGCAACCCCTCTGGCGGAGTTACCCAGCCGGGGTACAGGGAGCTCCGCTACACTCGGTGGAGCCTGAATGGGAAGCAGAGTGAGGGCCTCGGTGGAGAATAAATGGGAAGCAGAGTGAGGGCCTAGGTGGAAGGTGAATGGGAAGCAGAGTGAATGATTCAGTGGGGGCTAAATGGTAAGCAGAGTGATGGCCTTCGTGGAGGCTGAATGGAAGCAGAGTGAAGTATTCGGTGGGGGGTGAATGGTAAGCAGAGTGAGGGCCTCGGTGGAGGCTGAATGGGAAGCAGAGTGAGGGCCTCGGTGGAGGCTGACTGGGAAGCAGAGTGAGGGCCTCGGTGGAGGCTGACTGGGAAGCAGAGTGAGGGCCTCGGTGGGGGCTGAATGGGAAGCAGAGTGAGGGCCTCGGTGGAGGCTGACTGGGAAGCAGAGTGAGTGCCTTGGTGGGGGCTGACTAGGAAGCAGAGTGAGGGCCTCGGTGGAGGCTGAATGGTAAGCAGAGTGAGGGCCTCGGTGGAGGCTGACTGGGAAACAGAGTGAAGGCCTTGGTGGAGGCTGAATGGGGAGCAGAGTGAGGGCTTCGGTGGAGGCTGACTGGGAAGCAGAGTGAGGGCCTCGGTGGAGGCTGACTGGGAAGCAGAGTGAGGGCTTCGGTGGAGGCTGAATGGTAAGCAAAGTGAGTGCCTTGGTGGAGGCTGAATGCTAAGCAGAGTGAAGGCCTCGGTGGAGGCTGAATGGTAAGCAGAGTGAAGGCCTCGGTGGAGGCTGAATGGTAAGCAGAGTGAGGGCCTTGGTGGAGGCTGACTGGGAAGCAGAGTGAAGGCCTTGGTGGAGGCTGAATGGAAGCAGAGTGAAGTATTCGGTGGGGGGTGAATGGTAAGCAGAGTGAGGGCCTCGGTGGAGGCTGAATGGGAAGCAGAGTGAGGGCCTCGGTGGAGGCTGACTGGGAAGCAGAGTGAGGGCCTCGGTGGAGGCTGACTGGGAAGCAGAGTGAGGGCCTCGGTGGGGGCTGAATGGGAAGCAGAGTGAGGGCCTCGGTGGAGGCTGACTGGGAAGCAGAGTGAGGGCCTTGGTGGAGAATAAATGGGAAGCAGAGTGAGGGCCTCGGTGGAGGCTGACTGGGAAACAGAGTGAAGGCCTTGGTGGAGGCTGAATGGGGAGCAGAGTGAGGGCCTCGGTGGAGGCTGACTGGGAAGCAGAGTGAAGGCCTTGGTGGAGGCTGAATGGGGAGCAGACTGAGTGCCTTGGTAGAGGCTGAATAGGGAAGCAAAGTGGGTGCCTTGGTGGAGGCTGAATGGTAAGCAGAGTGAGGGCCTCGCTGGAGGCTGCATGAAGCAATATTATTAGAGTCACATTGAATACAGACGCAGTGCCACCCTCACCCTCTTGCTGCATTGTGCCTGAATGGCTCTAGGTATTTAAAACTTGTGTACCCAACGTATGTGTTAAATTATTTAATTGCTAATTATTAATTCTTATTATTGTATGTTTTTACTTTATCTGTATTTGTATTAAGCATTAACGTCTTTATAACAAAGATTAATTCAAACCCCTGGCATTTTGGCAGCCATTAAAGGGTTAACAGATCTCTATAAACAAATATAATAAGTATAATGTGCTACTGATATATGGGACTCTGTTAACCCTTGGAATTTATGTATTTGCCAGATACTATAACAACGTGCAGTAGAAAAAGTCAGCGGACACTTACTATAATCTGACATGGTGCAAGGTGCTTGTCTGAGATTGACCACAATCCTGGGGCACGGTTAGCCCTGTGAGCCGTCCAAGTTCCTGCTCAGGTAATCTCTGCTCCAGTAAATCCACAGCTCTAGGAACCAGATAATCTCTGATCCAGTAACTGCTCAGCTCCAGGAACCAGGTAATCTCTGCTCCAGTAAATCCACAGCTCTAGGAACCAGATAATCTCTGATCCAGTAACTGCTCAGCTCCAGGAACCAGATAATCTCTGCTCCAGTAAGTACTCAGCTCCAGGGTCCAGATAATCTCTGCTCCAGTAAATCTGCAGCTCTAGGAACCAGATAATCTCTGATCCAGTAACTGCTCAGCTCCAGGAACCAGATAATCTCTGCTCCAGTAAGTACTCAGCTCCAGGGTCCAGATAATCTCTGCTCCAGTAAATCTGCAGCTCTAGGAACCAGATAATCTCTGATCCAGTAACTGCTCAACTCCAGGAACCAGATAATCTCTGCTCCAGTAAGTACTCAGCTCCAGGAACCAGATAATCTCTGCTCCAGTAAATCTGCAGCTCCAGGAACCAGATAATCTCTGCTCCAGTAAGTACTCAGCTCCAGGGTCCAGATAATCTCTGCTCCAGTAAATCCGCAGCTCCAGGAACCAGATAATTTCTGCTCCAGTAACTGCTCAGCTCCAGAATCCAGATAATCTCTGCTCCAGTAAATCTGCAGCTCCAGGAACGAGATAATCTCTGCTCCAGTAAATCTGCAGCTCCAGGAACGAGATAATCTTTGCTCCAGTAAATCTGCAGCTCCAGGAACGAGATAATCTTTGCTCCAGTAAATCTGCAGCTCCAGGGTCAAAATAATAGCTGACTAGTGGCAAGGCACCATGTTCAGGGCTTCCTTGGCACTGGACAGTTGCACCATGCAGCTGTAGTGATACTCACATCAAGCAGCCAAATCGCCCAGTCCGTGAATGTTAGTCCCCACTTTTCTTTCACATATTTTTTTCTCACAGACAGCTCACTGTGATGCTTTTTTCCAGATCTCAGCTAGAAAAGTAATCTGATAGTTATTCCTTTAAACAGCAGTTTGCAGTGACGTCCAGGCCAGTAAGCCCTCCCATCCTTTTATCTGAGCTGCAGAAACAGCTATCTCTAAACTGTCCTACAAAGCGACTGTGTACTCTCTGTGTTCTGGGGAGGGAAAGTCACAAAGTCGACACATGCTGCACCTCCACAAACACTAACAAACAAAACCTGGCAAACACCAACAAACAGAACCTGGCAAGCACCAACAAACAAAACCTGACAAACACCAACAAACAAAACCTGGCAAACACCAACAAACAAAACCTGACAAACACCAACAAACAAAACCTGGCAAACACCAACAAACAGAACCTGGCAAACACCAACAAACAAAACCTGGCAAACACCAACAAACAAAACCTGGCAAACACCAACAAACAGAACCTGACAAGCACCAACAAACAGAACCTGGCAAACACCAACAAACAGAACCTGGCAAACACCAACAAACAAAACCTGACAAACACCAACAAACAAAACCTGACAAGCACCAACAAACAAAACCTGGCAAACACCAACAAACAGAACCTGGCAAACACCAACAAACAAAACCTGGCAAACACCAACAAACAGAACCTGGCAAACACCAACAAACAAAACCTGGCAAACACCAACAAACAAAACCTGGCAAACACCAACAAACAGAACCTGGCAAACACCAACAAACAGAACCTGGCAAACACCAACAAACAGAACCTGGCAAGCACCAACAAACAGAACCTGGCAAGCACCAACAAACAAAACCTGGCAAGCACCAACAAACAAAACCTGACAAACACCAACAAACAAAACCTGGCAAACACCAACAAACAGAACCTGGCAAGCACCAACAAACAGAACCTGGCAAGCACCAACAAACAAAACCTGACAAGCACCAACAAACAAAACCTGGCAAACACCAACAAACAGAACCTGGCAAACACCAACAAACAGAACCTGGCAAACACCAACAAACAGAACCTGACAAGCACCAACAAACAGAACCTGGCAAACACCAACAAACAAAACCTGGCAAGCACCAACAAACAGAACCTGACAAACACCAACAAACAGAACCTGGCAAACACCAACAAACAGAACCTGGCAAACACCAACAAACAGAACCTGGCAAACACCAACAAACAAAACCTGACAAGCACCAACAAACAGAACCTGGCAAACACCAACAAACAGAACCTGGCAAACACCAACAAACAAAACCTGGCAAACACCAACAAACAGAAACCTGGCAAACACCAACAAACAGAACCTGCAAACACCAACAAACAAAACCTGGCAAACACCAACAAACAAAACCTGGCAAACACCAACAAACAGAACCTGACAAACACCAACAAACAGAACCTGGCAAACACCAACAAACAGAACCTGGCAAACACCAACAAACAAAACCTGACAAACACCAACAAACAAAACCTGACAAGCACCAACAAACAAAACCTGGCAAACACCAACAAACAGAACCTGGCAAACACCAACAAACAAAACCTGGCAAACACCAACAAACAGAACCTGGCAAACACCAACAAACAAAACCTGGCAAACACCAAACAGAACCTGGCAAACACCAACAAACAGAACCTGGCAAACACCAACAAACAGAACCTGGCAAACACCAACAAACAGAACCTGAAAAAAACACAAACAAAGAGAATCTGAAAAACACCAACAAACAGAACCTGGCAAGCACCAACAAACAGAATCTGGCAGACACCAACAAACAGAACCTGGCAAACACCAACAAACAGAACCTGGCAAACACTAACAAACAGAACCTGACAAGCACCAACAAACAGAACCTGGCAAACACCAACAAACAAAACCTGGCAAACACCAACAAACAAAACCTGGCAAACACCAACAAACAGAACCTGGCAAACACCAACAAACAAAACCTGGCAAACACCAACAAACAAAACCTGGCAAACACCAACAAACAGAACCTGGCAAACACCAACAAACAGAACCTGGCAAACACCAACAAACAGAACCTGGCAAGCACCAACAAACAGAACCTACAGCAGGCTTACCAGCAAACAGAACCTGGCAAGCACCAACAAACAGAACCTGGCAAACACCAACAAACAAAACCTGGCAAACACCAACAAACAGAACCTGGCAAGCACCATCAAACAGAACCTGGCAAGCACCAACAAACAAAACCTGGCAAACACCAACAAACAAAACCTGGCAAACACCAACAAACAGAACCTGGCAAACACCAACAAACAGAACCTGGCAAGCACCAACAAACAGAACCTGGCAAACACCAACAAACAGAACCTGGCAAGCACCAACAAACAAAACCTGGCAAGCACCAACAAACAAAACCTGACAAACAGGTGTTTTGTGGAAATCCACAAATAGATAAAACACTCACCTATTTAAGAGCGTAAACTAGCTCAAGTATTCATAGCATTCAGTGGCGTCAATCCCCCACTGGTTAGATATAGGTGGTGAAATTCTTGAAAGCTCCTCGGTATATAAAGAGATAAGAGACGGTATATAGTAGTAAAATACTCACATATATATGAGCAGGATCTACTGCTCAATGTTATAGCGTAGGTGGTACTATCCCCACCTAGGATTCTTGGGTAGAAGTGTGCTCCAATTCAAATTGGTGACCAGGTATTAAATCAGAAGATAAAATAATAAAAGGTGTATAAAGGCAGAAAAAAGAGCCAATATTCCTTTATTAGTAATATAAAATATCACTATAAAAACAGCCAAAACGCATTTCACCACACAGGGCTTTATCAACTGGCATTAAAAGAAAGAAAAACCTGGAACAATAGATACTTATATAAGCTAAAAGAGCAGATGTGGATTCAAATTTTGGCGCCAATATGACGTCACTAATAGAGTGTAAACGAAATTTCAAAACTTAAAATTATTGGTATTAAAATATTTCTAAGGACAATCCAATTATATTCATATGCTTTAAAATTAAAAACGAGCGTTTGTTATTAAACAGCACTTGGAGATGTTTAAAGTATTGAAATCACGTGACCGCGACCTCCCACGATCACGTGATATAGTTTTGGGGATTGTGGGAAATGTATGCCGGGGCTGAGAGACCGGCGCGAATGTACACGCCCATCTCTCAGCGTCAGCCTACTGGAGGTGGGCACTAAAAGAACGAGCAAATGGTGTGGCCGGAAGGGCCATTCTATAATAGTGAACAGAGATGAAAAACACTCTATAGAACTATAATTGGGAACCCAGGGGGGAATAAAATATCTGGTATTTGGGAAAAGAGAAATCTGCCAAAGGGTAGGGATAATCATGTGGGACGTCCCACAGGATAGGGGCGCCCCACATGGCGACTACCCACCCAACTAGTCTCTCTGGTAATAATAATAAAAGAAAGAAAAAATAATTTAAAAAAATGAAAGAAAAAATGAATGAAAGAAAAAAAAAAATAATAAAAATAAAAAGTTAATAAATAATAAATAATAAAAAATAAAAAATTAAAATATAAAAAATATAAAAAAATAAAATATAAAATAAAAAATAATAAATAAATAAGGGACCTTATAAAAAATTAAAAAGGTCGAAATTTGCATTTAGGCCTTCTGGAGAGAGGGTTTTGAGTTGGAAAACCCAATTCATTTCTCTCTTTCCTAAAATATTTTTCAAGTCTCCTCCTCTCCAGGGCATGGCAACTTTTTCTATTCCAGTGACTTTAAGAAATCTAGGGTCTTTGTTATGTAATAAAAAGTGTTTAGACACTGAATGATTGTCATAACCTCTTTTGATGTTGCGACAATGTTCAGCCAGTCTAATCTTCAAACAACTTGTCGTCATGCCAATATATTGAAGTCTGCATGGACATTCCAGTAAATATATAACATTTTTGGTGTTACATCCAATAAAATCTTTAATTGGATATGATATTTTTGTGATAGCGGAAGAAAAATGGGTGGTTTTGGTATTGGCATTTGGATTCGTAGATGTGCACACAATGCATTTATTACATTTAAAGAAACCTTTTGGTTTAGACATAAAATTATCTTTTTGTGAGATAGTTTTAGTATAGTTTTTTGTGAGGAGGAGACTTGAAAAATATTTTAGGAAAGAGAGAAATGAATTGGGGTTTCCAACTCAAAACCCTCTCTCCAGAAGGCCTAAATGCAGATTTCGACCTTTTTAATTTTTTATAAGGTCCCTTTTTTTTATTTATTTATTATTTTTTATATTTTAATTATTTTTTATTTTATTATTTATTTATTTTTTATTTACGTTTTATTTTTATTTTTTTATTATTTATTTTGTATTTTTTATTTTATTTATTTTTTTACTTATTTTATTTTTTCTTTCATTCATTCTTTCTTTCTTTTATTCTTATTACCAGAGAGACTAGTTGGGTGGGTGGTCGCCATGTGGGGTGCCCCTATCCTGTGGGACGTCCCACATGATTATTCCTACCCTTTGGCAGATTTCCCTTTTCCCAATACCAGATATTTTATTCCCCCCTGGGTTCCCAATTATAGTTCTATAGAGTGTTTTTCATCTCTGTTCACTATTATAGAATAGCCCTTCCGGCCACACCATTTGCTCTTTCTTTTAATGCCCACCTCCAGTATGCTGACGCTGAGAGATGGGCGTGTACATTCGCGCCGGTCTCTCAGCCCCGGCATACATTTCCCACAATCCCCAAAACTATATCACGTGATCGCGGTCATGTGATTTCAATACTTTAAACATCTCGAAGTGCTGTTTAATAACAAATGCTCGTTTTTAATTTTAAAGCATATCAATATAATTGGATTGTCCTTAGAAATATTTTAATACCAATAATTTTAAGTTTTGCAATTTTGAAATTCCGTTTACACTCTATTAGTGACGTCATATTGGCGCCAAAATTTGAATCCACATCTGCTCTTTTAGCTTATATAAGTATTTATTGTACCAGGATTTTCTTTCTTTTAATGCCAGTTGATAAGTCCTGTTTGGTGAAACACATTTTGGCTGTTTTTATATTAATATTTTATATTAGTGTAGCGGAACCTACTTCGCCACTATGCACTGGAGAAGCCTGGTTGCCAGCCTCTTGCCATGTGACTATGGCCCTTGGGATGGATTGCCCTTTAAAGACATGATTTGGGCATAATGGATTTGTGTTGTGCTGCTGCTGGCCCTTTAAGAACCATCTGGGGACATACTGTGGAGTTACTGGGTGGCCACCATTTCCTGTATCAGAAGCACATGGTGAGAAC